ACATTTGTAATTTTCTTAATCTGTGACCCGTTGACCCGACGGGTCGGGTCGGGTCAACTGTTTAAAAGTTCGAGTCGAGTCGGGTTGAACCACTGCCCCGACCCGACTCGTTCGGAGCTCTATTTCTGATTTATGCCAACATATCGTGATGGAAATTTACAAGTAGCTATTTCAACAAGTGGTACTGGGCCTCACATAGCTCAAAAACTGAGACAACACATAATTGAAAATATACCAAAAAATATTTCAAATGCTACCAGAAATGCTGCTTTATTAACACAACTTGCTAGTGCAGAAAATATATTAAAAATTCCAAAAATTGCTGATAAATTATCACTTAATCAATTTGCTCAGTTATCAGAACCTGAAATTAAAAAATTGATTGAAAAAAATGAATCCAATGATAATGATATGGTTTCAATTTCAAAATCAAATTTATCATTGAAATCAAAAATAGGCATTGAAATTAATACTCATGAAGGTGGATTGAAACTTGTGAATGGTAGTACAGCTATAGAACATGTGGCTTATGCTTTAACTAGTCCTATTTTTATTTATCCAGCTACAAGATCATACTATCTTGGTAAATTAAGTTTATATTGGTCTTCACAATCACTTAACGATGCATTTGGAGAAATTAATCATGTAATAAAGGCTGATACTTGTTTTTGTGCATCTACCATGGTTTTTGGCACTGCATCTAATGATGTATGACGAAACTTTTGACTTTAATCATTGACGTGACGAAAGTACTGACTAAAGGTGGTTTCTCACCAAAGGCCATTTTGACAATTTGACGAAAAATTGTTGATGAAAGTAAAAATTGAAATTGAAATTTTTTTTTTGTTTTATATATTTTGTTTATAATAATATGCCAACAATGTTAATACTGTTGTATAATATGAGTGGTTCTGCCTTATAGAAAATTTGCATATGGAAATTCTGTATGAATTATAATTTTTATTGCTATGAAATGATCATTATAAAAGATACAGAATTATTCCAGAAAAATTTGTAAAATATTAACAATAATTACTATTATAGTGTGAGCGTGCGATCTGAGTTTCCTAATTAATAGATTGTTTATAGCTCAACACACAGCCTACCCACTGACTTACAGTTGATTCTATTGTTTGACACACAGCCTACCCACTGACTTATGGTCAAGTTTCCTTTATTTATATATATGTATGACACACAGCCTACCTGCTGACTTATGGTCAAGTTTCCTTTATTTATATATATGTATGACACACAGCCTACCCGCTGACTTATGGTCAAAGATTAATAATAAAAATAACTTTTATCCTCCTGGATAAAAGGGTCCCTAGGTTCTATGTAAATGATTATATCCCAAAGGCGTCCCCTTGAGATGCATCTGAATAATTAAAAGGATTCCCAACTAATAATTAAAGGTTGGCCAGACCATTAACCATTAGAAGGGCTGGGGGTCAACCACACTGGGTTTATTAGTTACTTACAGTCAAAGACTATTTTATGTAAGGTTATATATTTATTAAGAGTTATTATTATGTTGTTGTTATCAAGGTTGTTATTAACAATATTAACAATTGATTTATTAATTCATTCCCATTAACTTGGTCTAAAGCCAAGTGTATTTATACCTCTTGGGGCAGTACAAATAATGTGATATGTGTTACCCTACTCTCCAATAATATGCTTATCAACTAATTACTAATTCTAAATAAATATTTACATCAGATGAGTAGGTTAATAAATATAAATATAGAAATATGAATAGGAATAATCTTTCATATGAAACTGCGCAATGTGCGGCGTAGCCATTACAATAATATAATATTTAGCACATCACATGACTTCCGTAGTAAGTTCGTTCTAATTGGTCAATATTAACCAGGTAATTGATAAGTCCAAGATTTACTATCTCACACTACCTTTAAATAAATAAATAATAAAAGTATATTGTTATTAACAAATTAATTTACATGAATAAATATAAATATAGTAATGGTGATTCTGAATATACTTAATAATAAGATTTGCAACAACATGACGTCAGCTGGCTTTCTGGATATTTGTTTGCAATATCTTCATGCAAACAATACAAACACAATGGTCTAAAAACCAATAAAAATTAAATTCTATTCATAAATTTCTAACTTTAGTAAAAACATACTTTGAACAAATCAACAACATCAGGAAATTAATTTAGCATAAACTTGCATAAATCTTACAATGCTGACATAATATTGTGTAAATCATATGGTGCTGATGTAAGTTTTACACTTTTTTATTATCAAGCTCTTTTTATATTTTCTGGATGAGATTATTACAGATTATTAACAGATTATGAAAAAGCAAGTTTAATAGTATTTTTTTCAATTATTATAAACAGATTTATTAGAAAATGTAACATAGATATAACAAGAAGTATCTTGTGAATTCATTTGTGACATATAATGAATTGATCAGCAGACTATTCTGGAATCAAATCCCAATATGGAAATATCCCCGACTGAATTAGTATGAATTCATTGTTAGAGATAAATTTATTATCATAATATTTGAAGACAACAAGGACAAGGACATTGTTATTTATTAAATGATAATTATGAATGATGATTAAAGATGATACATGAAGTTGTGAAAATTACAATATTATTTATACATGTTAAAGATTCTATCATCTAGTTCTCTGATTTTTTTGAAATCCTAATTAAATGTATTACTTGAACCTTCTGTGTAGAAATATTTTCAAGTTATTTCTAAAGTGATCCAAATCATTTAAATTCCTTTGTTTAAATTAAATCTAAGAATTAAAAACCTCTTATATTTAGGATGTTAGAATAATTATTTCTCTGTTGTTTAAGATATTTTTATTTGTGTGCAATAGTTGTTGTATCTGTTGATTATCTGGGTGTTTGAGTGCTTGGTCAATCAATAAAGCTCAACACCTGGATAATTGGTCAGTCAATAAAACTCAACATCCGGACAATTGGTCATAATGCTGTGGGTGAAATTAGTACATTCACCAATTGCCCATTTCAGAATTAGATAAAGTTAATTCCACCTTTGGCGATTGTCTAAAATCACAGTTTTGTGATAAAGTAGCTAGCTCTCTTATTGGCTGTTAGTTGTGTAATAAATGTATATCACCATTGCATAAAACAATAACAGTCAGACAGGATTTCACACTTACTGATTTTACTATATGATCGACACATCACGTTTTTTGTACAACAGACTTTAAAGGAAGAATTGAATGCAAGATTATTAACAAACAATTTTTACACTTTTAAATAAATACAATCTTGTACTTTTGCTCTTTTAAACACAATCTTATATTTGTCAGTAACTTTTTTTGTTGTCCGGCAATGGCCTTTCAAAAAGACCCATACTTTTTAGCTTCGAAGACCTAATTCTTTATGAAAATCAACATTATAATGATCACTTTAGTGTGATAAGATAGGGTATATTGAGGGCTTTCAGAAAATATATGGTTCGTTTGGTTTTTACAGAAGAGGAAGAAACTAGAAGAAAAAAAAGTTTTTATAAGTTATTTATGACCTTTTTATATAATGTAATTTTTATTTATTTTTTTCTTTTCACATTATTATATTGTATATAACTATTTTAGATGTACATCAAAGAAACAATTAAAAATAAAAAACGTTTTATAAGTTAATATAATTTTTATTTTATTTTATTTTTTTTATAAAGGCAATATCTTGCTCATATAATTTTATTAGAATAAAGTAAATATAATAAAAATAATTCACAAAATAAATTCCAAATTAACTTTATATGAGGCTATTCCTCTTGAAAATAATTAAAAAGAAAATATATACATATTTAAATTTAACATTTCAGAAAAAACAGATATGCCAAACAAAGTCTATGAAGTTTATTCAGTCTCAATTTAACAATTTTAACTGCATCATAGATATTGTTGACTGATCCGGATATTACCTAGGTAATAGGAAGTCAGATCCAAATATAATTTTTATTTTTGTTTCCTTTTCACATTATTATACCAATATTCTCTAACTTTAGTAGATGTCCATGAATTATTTATTTTGATAGATTTTCTAATGATTTTTTTGCTACATCCTTTGGTAAATCTGTAGGATGATTAAATGCTTCTTGAAGCATTTTGAGTCCCCTATCTGTTTTTTTATGACTTTTATGTGGAGTGGTTTCAACTTGTAATATTTTATTAACTGGTGCAACTGTTATATCTTCAACTAGAACAGGTATATTGTCTCTAATTTCTGCTTCATCATTTTGTTTTGTTAATTTCTTTAACAAATTCATTATGTTCTTTAACTTTTACAAAAGCAACATCTTTACTTCATCTACCAACAGTGGAACATGGTAATGTTTTTATAAACTTCTTGATATAATAATTCATTAAGGCATTTTAAGCCCTTTTCATCATATTATTAAAACCATTGTCATTCATTTCCTTTGTATTTTTTTAAAAAAAAAACATGTTCTGTAGGATCCAGAAGATTAAATGCATTGGTTAATTCATCAACAACAGACTATAGAATATCTCTTCGTTGTACTTTTGCTTGCTCTCCTTTGTGAATGGTATTTTTTTAATAAATTCTGAGACAAGTGATTCCTATGGATTTAATGATGATTTTTACAATCACAAAGATAAATTATAATAGATCTTTATTTATTAATAATTATTAAAATGAAATTACAATAATTTAACAAATTTCTATTTTGTAGGAATATTATAAAACATCTATTTATATTAATTCTAAAATACATTTTCTTATCAAAAACGACTTCATCAAACAACTAAATAATATTTATATCTGTCAAAGAAAGAACTTGTTAACAATTTAATCATTGTTAAAAAAGAATCCAATATCTTTTTATTAAAACAATAAAATGATCCATGATAATATATCATTATTACCTATTATTTACTATATTAGAATGTCAACTAATATTTCTTTCTCAAAAAAAACAAAATAAAATATTAGAATTATTTCTCTGATCATATCTTATTCATTGTTTAACTAATATTATAATTAATTGAATTAAAAAAAAAAACGTATGTATGTACCTTTTATGAATCTTGTTGTTAGCCAAAGAACACCCCCATTCATTCTTATTATTATAAACAAAAATTTCCACTAAATTTATTAGTAAGGAATTATTTATTAAATAATTATAATATTGACAGTTGACTACTCAACCCAAAATCAATAAAGCAATTTTATTTCTAAAGGTGGTTTTCGTTTTCATTGAAATTACTAAATTTTTTTAAAATTTTACTAAAAATGGTAATGTCATTAAAAACTGAATGAATAACTTTCAACTGGTAATTCTTTTTCGTTTCTTTATGAAATCATACCTAAAATTTTACAAGGAAATAAAATAAGTCTCAAAGAATGCGTGTACAAAATATCACGTTCCTTGTTAAAAACTATATATGGGTGTACTAGTAACAAACAAAAAAGTAACTTCGATTTTAATAGTAAAAATTGACATGTTTCACAAAAATTTTACATAGCTATGACAGTAGAGTAGACATGTCGATCGCGTGAAATCCTGTCTGACTGTTATGTTAAAAAATTATGTTAATATAAAATGTTAATTAAAATAAAAAAGTCGATTATCCATTAGTGCTGATCCATTTATTTTAGCATAGTACGATGCAAAAAGTAGATTAATTCACTATATTCTTAAAAATACTTTGTATTTCATAAAAACTTATTTCCCTTCGAAAAAAATTTTTTTTTTATTTTGCTATATACTCTTTACATTGTCTACCAAATCTTCCCAGGTAAGTTTCATAATAATAAAAAGTCCACCAAATCTTCCCACCGTCTATGGTGGGACAAAAATACTATAGAAATAGTCAAATAACTGATCTATAAATAAATATACATACATACATATTTATAAAAATGAACCAAATTCAAGTCTAATTATTTTAAACATAACTGACAACTTCTAGCTTCTTAATCTAATAGTTTTGTTTTTTATTTTAAATTAGAATCAAATCATAAATGCAATCTGTGTCAACATTATGAAACTATATCTGGTTTTTGGAGTGTTACTATTACAAAAAATAGAAGAGGATGAAGAGGATGGATGAAATTTATTCTAGTTTATCATGAAGCTGTATTTGTTCAAATATTTAACAAGTGTTGATAGGTAATATATATGTGTTTTTAAAGAAGTAGCAAAGAAAATTTTAAATGAATATTTGGGGTTAGAAGAATGTGCCATTAAATATTATTTATGAGAATAATAAAGCTATTTTCTTACATATTGTATATGTACACGATCAGAAGGTAGAGGAGATGTAGAAGGAAATAAAAATTGTAGATGGTAGAGGAAATGAGACAATATGCAATGCAATAAGTTGAACGTTATGTTTAAATAGATT